TAACAAAAACAAAGCAAAAAAAAAAAAATCGTAAATGCACACACACGACAAGCTCGACGCCAAAAAACAATTGAGTGCGCGTGCTGCAGAGGTTCCACATGACAGCGATTCAAAATGAATGCACTCACGTCACAAAAGAAGTGTCGCGATATTGTGAAAGCTGCGGGTGCAATGGCAAAGCTGGCGCGTGTGTTTCTACATGCAATAGATGCTTGTCGTGCAGTTTCACGCTTGGTTTTCCCTCTCGATTCGTATTATTTTCCTCTTCTCTTCTCTCCTTTTTTTGTTGTTGTCTTATTTACTAGAGTTGTGTGCCGCATATTGGCTGCGTAATTACGAATTACACGTGTCTCAATTGTCGCACTCTGCAGGCGAATTGTTTAATAACGAATGTATAGGATATTTCGACGGTAAAGTCACTCGAGATATGCGCCGGACACGGCTGTCGTTGACAGAAACACATTGCACGTTTCACACTGCGATTTAATTAAACAATTATTACTGCTTATTACTGCAGTTATCGAGACTGTATTTCCTATACGTATATATATATATATACATATTGTAAACAGTCTAATATATAGATATACATTTAATATTCCTCGTTTCTTCCCATCTCCTGTTTACTGTCCTGCTTCAAATTTCCTCTGGCTCCTTCTGCTAATGTACACATGGCACAACGACGTTGATGGTAATTAATCAAATGAAACGAATCAACCGTGAAAACTAAATTGTTTAACCAAACTCTTGGGGAAAATTCACGCAAGGAAGAACTGATGACGTGCTTTGTCTTGATTACCCAGCAATTATAAACTTTACCAAAAAAAAATAATATTAGGTGTTACAGTGATTTTGAGTTATTCTATTTAGAGGGTGAATTTATTTGATGTATTTTAAAAAAAATTTATTTACAGTCAATAAAATAGCACACCACTATTTTTAATTTTAAAAAACTGACATCGGATTCGTAATCAGCGACCCCAAAAACTCCCGAGTTACAATTTTCAAGCAAATTTGACAAAATTTTAAAATTTAGTCCGCCATATTGGATCCGCCATTTTGAATTTTGAAGAACTGACATCGGATTCGTAATCAGCGACCCCAAAAACCCCCAAGTAACAATTCTCAAGCAAATTTGACAAAATTTTAAAATTTAGTCCGCCATATTGGATCCGCCATTTTGAATTCTAAAAAACTGACATCGGATTTGTAATCAGCGACCCCGACAACCCCCGAGTACCAAATTTCAGGTAAATTGGATTAATTTTTAGAAAGTCATCCTCCACATTGGATCCGCCATTTTGAATTTTGAAGAACTGACATCGAATTCGTTATCAGCCACCCCAAAAACCCTCAAGTAACCATTTTCAAGCAAATTTGACAAAATTTTAAAATTTAGTCCGCCATATTGGATCCGCCATTTTAAATTTTGAAGAACTGACATCGGATTCGTAATCAGCAGGGTAACGACCTTGCCTGATCTTGAAAATCTTTCTCAATCAGCTACGGTGGCAAAATAATTATATATTTTAGAGATAGCTATGTAGAAAGTCTGTTTACTACATGAAAACATTTAAAGAACCAAATTAAGTCAAAAGTTATCACTTGTCACTTTTTTTATAAATTGACGTTCTGTTTTACCAGCGACCGATAAATCTATTATCGACCTTCGACAATCATTTTCCTTTTAAGAGATGTAATTTTCTTTTCAATAATAACTAATTAATTAATTAAATAATTTATTAACATTAATTTACAAATAATTCTAAAGCCCTTCAAATTTTTCTAAAAATTATTATTTTCCAAATTTTAAGAAATAATGTCTATTGAATTTTAGATAAATATCAACAACAAAGTGAAAAGTAGATTAAAACTTTTGTATGATAAAATTGTCGGAGGTGAATTCTATTTTTGTTTTCTTTTTTTTTTTGTTTTTGCTGGTAATTTTTTAGAGAAATTTTTTGTTTTTTAATGACAGTGAACTTGTGTTGAAATAATTTTCAACGGGTATTTTTATAATGAAACAATTTTTAGTCGCAAACATAGTAACTTGCTGAACACGCGGAAAAGAGAGAGTGAGAGAGAGAGAGAGAGGAAAATTATCATAAAAGCGTGGACTTCATAATTACACAGATGGTATTTTAATTACTTTACCACGAAAATATAATCCTTTGTAAATAAAATTTTCATTTTACAAAAGTTAAATGATTATTAAACTTTAAATTGATTTTTTTATGAAAATTTTAATTACCATTTCAAACATCATTTTCAACTTGAATATATATATACATATATATAAAATTATCTACTTTTGACTAAAATATTAACAATGGAGAATAATTTTTGAAAATTAACTTTTAGCATTTACGATTGGTTTTAATTTTAGATTTTGTAAATTAAATTTTGATGATAATTTTGAACTAAAAATATTTATTTTAATTCGGTAACTTTTTTTTGGTATCAACTTTATTATATGGCACTGCACTAACAGTTTTCCTCTTTGCACATTCGTTACCGCACAGGTCTGATCGTGTCTGCCTATTTCACAGGTATGTACGTGACTTTTGAAAAACATGCGGTCGTAATCAGTAGTGGCAGAGCATTGCTTTTGCAGTAGTGTTATCGTGAACATTGTCACCAACGATAAAGAGAAATAATGCAAGAGAGTGAAAAGGGGAAGTTTGTAAAATTTATAAAATTTATACCCCCATCTCTTTCTCTCTTCTCTCTATCGATAGGGAATTTCACAGTTCATCTCTTTTCGATCTCATCGCCACTCGTTTTTTCTTTTCATGCAAATCAAAATACACTTTACAAAATAAACATTTCTTTTTAAAGAAAAAATTTATACCTTTGGGATAATTTACAATTAAAGTGTAACGAAGGTAGCATATTACAAAAGTAACCAAACTTATACATATCGTGAAAAGATAGAAAAAAGAAATTTTCACCCAATTTCAATAATTTTTTTTTCGTGAAAAGTTTTCGATTGATTAGTTTATAAAATTCTATTAGGGACACTATCGAATGTACCCACCAACCTAACACTGTGTGGCAAGTTCCATAGCTTTTCTAGGAAAGTACGATAGACTATTGTGTGTGTTGTAGTTAACCTTGATTTACAATAATGTGCTTCTGTAACATTAACAACCTCTAATGGTTACACATTGCACTAATTTTACGTATGTATGCATATCCGTATACGGAAACGTGACTATGCACAACTGTGGACAACTGGTGTAACCGCACACGTGGCACTATCGGTTTATTGCGTCGGCATCCACGGTTTTGCCTAATTTACTACAACCAATCGAGTCACATTCGACTTAAATTTATGCACACTTCCGAAATACATATACAAACTCACACAGGAATTCACGTATTTATATATATTGAGAATCATCCTCTAACGAAGCGTGGTATTCATTGATCAAAATTGTCCATTTTGAACAATGTATAACTTGGTACATTAAGTCAATTTCCATCACTCATGCTACCATTTGTTACATGTGTCAAAAAAATATATTTTTCTAAAAAAAATGTTTTTTTAAATTTTGGAATCTAAAATATTTATTTAAAAACATTTTTTAGAAATTAAACTTTTTTTTGCAAAATTAAGACTTCATTTATTATCAACATCGTCATCAATCTGCCAATGCGCTTGTAGTTTAAAAAATTTAATAATTTTTAACAAGTATGAAATTAATAGAAGATGATTTTGCTGAACGATATCTTCTTCAGCGAAAAATTGACCAAGGTAAATACGTTCCTTGACACTAACCTTGCCAATGAACTTTTCCCAGGGTCTGGGAAATGGTAGGCTAAAGAATGGCAAAAGAACATCTAAAAGTTTTTAAAACGTTTCATGTCCTCCACATAAAGTCTTAAACACATTTTATGTTCTAAAAACGTGTTTAGAACATTCGATGTTCTTAAGCCGTTATGTAGCGGACATGAAACGTTTTAAAAACGATTTAGGAACGTTTCTAGAACAAAGATGTTTTCGTGCCCAGAGGGTTATGTCTCCGAGTGAAACAAACATATCATAATTATTAATATTCAATTTGTCCAGCATCGATGATTCAAACCTGATTTATTGACAGAGCGGAAGGCTCTGATATTAAAGGATAGGTTTTAAGAAAGAGTAACTGTTAAATTGAAGTTAAATTATTAAAGTTTTTATTTGAATCCTTTACAATTAGAATCAGAGAGGAAGAGTAGGAGTAGAAGCCTAGGAGTGACCGAATTATTGATTTGACGTTGATGTCGAAGTAATGCAGTAGTCGAAGAACAATCTCAATGACAGTACACAACTAGTTAACTTGGTGGCGATTGCTGGACTGACACGAAGAAGACGCGAAGTTGATTCGACGGCGACTTCTTGACTGACGAATTCGGCAAATGTGGCGCGTCTCATAGATTGCTCCCAATGAAAAGAAATGATAATGCCACTCACTTTTATTACTTCTGGGTCAGTTTTTTTATTAATTTTTGGCATTCCTTAGCCAGACATTTCCCAAACACTGGGAAATTTTCATTAGCAAGAGCAGTACCAGCGAACCTTGCCCCAAAAAGTCTCCAAGGTTTTTAGATTGGATTATATATTATTATCCAAAACTAAAATACAATAATTAAGTAACACTTCCAACGGTCATATAATATTGATTTAATAATACTTTCATAGAAATGCAATTAATTATTCTATGTGTAAAAAACTTGAACGAAGTTAATATGAAAACGTAATTTAAAGGATAATTTTATTGCCTCTAACTTTATTACTTTATTTTCCTGTTTATAGTCACAAACGCGTAACAGTGTAAAAATCGTGAAAGTTTTTTCGCTTGTATGTTTACTATATATAATGGTGCTTTACTTTTTACAAAGCATTCTGGGCAAGTTTAAAATAAAAAATAAAGACAGAAGCGAAAAAAGAAGGGAAACTTGATGAAAAGGAATGTCTGGCATGATTGTAAAGAATTTTTTCCCGTTCGTTTTTACAGACAATGGTCGAGATTCACCACCGGAACCAGCGCCACCAGAAGTACCACCTCGTGGTCCATCTTTACACGCAACACATACTCTACGTTCTCAACAAAACCGAAATGGTTGCCCTCCAAATGCATCTGGTAATTTCAATCTCTCGTCAGAACCAGTGCAATCCGAAACCTACTCCGGTGAGTGATATAATCAAATAAATTAATTTAATAATTCTAAATACATTGAATAAATAAATATATATAAAATCAACGTTATTTGGTAACCGATTTTTAAAACTGCTCAAAATATCTTTAATTCAAAAATCGGAATCAAAATAGCATAGAGCGACACCATCACATCCCTCCTACAAAACAATGAATTATCCAAGGGGGTTTGAAATTCAATAATGTACAATTGCTTTTTGACTGAGAGTGTTTAATTTGGCGAACAGTTGCAACGTTATATTGCAAATCAAAGTATAACGTACAGAGACGCGCGCAGATGTACCAAAACTTCCGGGAATGCAGGGATTTCTGTTTTGAAACTAATGGAATACGAAAACGGGAGGTGTTTTTTTTTTAAATTTTTTCCTTTTGCATTAACACCTCCATTAATTCATTGTAAATAAACGTCGAGTATATTTGTTTCTCTATATTTCTATGTGCATACCATTTAGTATTTAACGGGAACACACTCATTTCGTATGTATATATATACATAGTTGGAGAGTTTTTGCCAGAAACTATATAGGAAACTGAAAATATACGTGGGTTAGTGCAAAAGTGGAGTAGAGGGGCGGAGGGTGGGAGAATGGGTTGATAAAGGGGGTGAAAGAGAGGGGGCATGAAACCGTGCGATGAACGACCTCTCGTTACTCGATTTGCATACTATTGCACATTCGATTTACCTTTTATACTCACCATAAATTCAACAATAAAGTTAACCCTCCAATGAGGCGGTTAATTGTCGCTTTGTTAATTTCAATAAGAATTTCATCTACTGTATAAATCCGCTATTTGTCTAGTGAAAAATTTTACTGTGAATTATAACAGGTGCTTTAATTTGAATTTTATATTTCGATAAGTTAAATAACAAAATGGGTTATAAAGATGATGATGAAGGTTTAAATGAGCGTTTTTTTCTGTAATAATGTTCTAAAATTTCTTTTTCTGCTCGAATCACTAGAAACCACTACCGTCTTTGGCTGGACTTTTCTTTTTCTACGGAACTACCGTTTGGCTTTAAACTTCGTAGGAAAAATTCCTTGGGATTTCGCTTACGCGACCTATGCCGTTACTAATTTACTGTCACGTCATCGCGACACACTTATATGTCTATCCCTATAATATAAAATCATTTCGCCGCCGCAACTGATTCAAAAATTTCTAAGGGCCCATAGTCAAGGTTGGCCCACTGTCAAGGTAGGTCCATCGTCAGAAACAAGTTACATTTTACCTAAATGCAGGTAAATTTTAAGGGCAGTTTTAACCTACAGGTCAAAAATTGACAAACAATTCTGTTGATGAATTTTAATCGTTTTTGGAACATAAAAACAAAAAAGCGTTTGGTCACCTCAGATGATCGTATCGGAGTTCGCGTATACAAAAATCGTTGTTAACGCGGAGGTTAAACAATTTTAAAAACAAACAAATCAAATTTTGAAGTTGAAAATATAAATTTTACCCCTTTTTATGTCTTTTGAAGCAAAGATCATGTTTTAAATTCTATCCTCACATGGACAAGGAATATTATTCTCGAAGGATTCAAGAAAGTTGAAACTGTGATATTTTAACAAAAAGCAAGGAAAAGCTGTTTACATGAAGTAATTTGTAAAGTGAATTTTGATGTAATTGTCATGTTTTTTTTTGTTAAAATCATAAAAATAAATTACAAAAACAAAATGTTGATGAAAGTAGTTTATTAAAATAATTTTTTGTCAAAAAAAATCTTTGCTGCAAACTTGTCATATAAACTTGTCATAAATACTTATTTACGACAAGTTTATTTTACAAAAAGCATTCTTTTTTAGAACCTACCAATTTTTTTACACAAATTGTAGAGAATTGGTCTTTTTGGCGCAATGCTGCGTAAATTGTGAAAAAAAGAAGAATAAGAAGCAAATGATTCTTTTTATCCAAGCAATATTGTGAGCGCAGAGGGTCGATTTGGAAAGTCGGTCCTCGTAATATTAGTGTTAGGGAGAGTATACGCATATTTCTCAGCTTTTTCTTTCTCATGTGAGCGAGAAATCGTTTCTTGAAAATTACACACACACACAGCCACATATACACGAAAGGCCGCAAAATTTAGTAAAAGAAGAAAAAATATTCACGACACCCGCGAGATTGTCTTTCTGAAAACGAGTATTATTATCTAGGATACTTGAGCTTTAGTTATTTTTGCATAACTGCAAATTAGAAATGATTACCGTTGTACCCGTGGGAAACGTATGAGCGCGGAAGACTAAGCACAACGTTCCCATGATCATCTGGCCGAACTAAATATTCTAAGATTGAGAATTACATTTTTCAACTGATTTTTCTTTTTACTTTAAAAACTATTTTTTGATCGAACAAGTCGTTTGTGACTTTTAGAAATAAAAAGTGATAAGATATCTTTTTAAAAAATATTAATTTTTTATAAATTTTGGTATCAGGGGGTTTTTTGTGTCGCTGATTCGGAATCTGATGTCAGTTTTTTAAAATTCAAAATGGCGGATCCAATATGGCGGACGGCTTTTTTAAAAATCGATTCAATTTGTTTGAAACTCGTTGCTCGGGGGTTTTTGGGGTCGCTGATTATGAATCTGATGTCGGTTTTTCAAAATTCAAAATGGCGGATACAATATGGCGGACTAAGTTTTAAAATTAAATCAAATTTGCTTGAAAATTGTTACTCGGGGGTTTTCAGGGTCGTTGATTACGAATCTGATGTCAGTTTTTCAAAATTTAAAATGGCGGATCCAATATGGCGGACGACTATTTTAAAAATCGATTTAATTAACAAATGTGTTTTTTGCATATTGGACATTTTTTTAATGACAAAGCAAACTTTGTAGAAATGTAAGTAAATTCGAGTAACAATTTTTTGCAAATTTCAATGACAAAAAAATATATTCCATTAAAGAAACATTGTTTTAAAGCTTCAACAGTTTTACGTGTCAGTGACGTCATGTGAATTGTTCCCCTTTCCTCTAAGCGTTTCATCCCCTTACATTGATCTATAAATTCCACTTTGGTACCTCAGTGTGAGACAACATACACACACACACACACACAAATACACCCACTTGGTTTTCCTTAACCTCCAAATAAACTGGTAACCAACCATTTGAAATGGCGTAAGAAAATGTTCATTGCGATTGTAAAAGTTACAATTGACTTTTTTTTTAAAACTTATAATATTGTGCACATGCCACGTTCGAAAAGTGACATTCATGTTTTACAGTTGACGTTAAAGTCTCTCGTAAACGAAAATGATTACCAACATTTCCCAACGACGAAAGGGAAGCAGGGGCGTGTGTGTAGTGAATCCATTAGGTAGACGAACGACGGAAAATAATAGCAAATGAAAAAGACCTAAAGGCGATCAATTACATTACTGCGAAGCTTTTTCTAGAACCATTAAGGGATTAAGCTTTCTGATACTAAGGCGCCTTACGATCGCGGCGGTTAATCCTGGTTTCGAAATTCGTCCCATGTCTTTCTGTCTCAATCCACGATTCAGTTAATGATTCTCCACTTTTTTTTCACTTACTCCAAAAGTGTGGTTAAAAAATCTGAACAAATCATTTCCTTTTTACCGTTAAATATTTAAATATTTTTATTTAACAATTACTGGATTGCCACGCAACCTGGAAAACCTGGAAATGTCAGGGAATTTTATAAACCTTGAAAAAACCTGGAAAAGTCAGGAAATTTTGATTGAAATCCTGGAAAATTGTTGTTCATTGTGCTTATTCTTGAAATCTAATTTTACTTAAATATTTCAAAATTAATTCAATTTTAAAAGAGTTACCTTTACAATCTTCATAAATAGATGAACTTCAAAAGATTATAATTTGAATGTTCTAAAAAATTTCAATTTTGAATGAATTAAATAATAAAAATTTTACAGGAATTCTATTATTTACAAAATCTTTATAAATTTCTTCGCAATAATTCAATTATTTTCAATAAATAATTGAATTTTTTAAAGAGATTGAATTATTTTCATAAATAATAAAACTCATAGCAGAATTACAAATGTTTTAAATACAATTTTAAAGAAGAATTTCTCGAAAAATGTAATTATTCTTAAAAATTTTATTAAATTATTTTATTTTAATTCAATAAATAAACTCAGTTTTTTGAAAGAATTAAATTATTATCAAAAATTTTAATAAAATTCTTTTTGACAATTCAATTTTTTTTTTCAAAATAATTTTATAATTAAATTCTACGCAGAAATTTAATTAATTTCAATGTAATTTATCAAAATTCAATTATTTTCAATAATTTATCACAATTCAATTATTTTCAATCTCTACTATTTTAATAAAATTTCACATAAGAATTCAATTGTTTAAAAGGAAATTTTAATGAAATTCGTCTCAAGAATTCAATTACTTTCAAAAGTATAATAAAATACTTCGCAGAAATTCAATTATGGTCAAAAGTTTAAAAAAAATTGTCTTTAAAATTTCAATTATTTATAAATAATAAAATTTTTCTCCAAAATTCAAATATTTTCAAAAATTTTAATAAAATTATTGGCAAAATTTCAATTCTTTTCAAAAACATTTCTCAATTCTATAAAATTTTTTACAGAGATTCAATTATTTTTAATACAATTTAAATTTAATTTCTCAAAAAATGAAATTATTCTTAAAAATGTTATTGAAATTCGGTAAAAGAATTTTAATTAGCTATTTAAAAATTTGTTGATAAAATTCTTTATGAGAGTTGATTTTTAAAATACATTCAATTCTTCAATAAATTATTTATTTTTGTATTTGAATAATTGAATTCTTCTTAAATTTTCTAATAACAATTTATTCAAATATGAATTTCAGTTTTTAGATAATAATTGAATATTAAACTCTCTTAATTTAAATTAGTAAAAATGGTTTCTAATTTGAATTAGTGACTGACTTTTTCCTTTTGAATTAGCAGATTTTACTAATAAATAGTCGTTTCTACTAATTTAGTAGTAAAAT